ATCCCAGCAAGTTCAGCCACTTTCCCAGGGCACTTTGCATCCTTTCATGCATGGTCCTAAGATTTGCTTTCAGGTATTTTTTAGTCCCAAACCAACCAAATCTCAGCTGAAGCACAGAAATGCATCGTTGCTTATGCTCAAGCGGACGATGGTCTGCCTCAGCAGATTCGTGCATATAATAGTGGCTTGTCTTGGAAGCTTCAGACAGAGATATAAAACTCTATGACAGACAGTTTTGCAATAGCATGCCCCCGGGGGAAATCTCTTCCTAACTGCAGGCAGTTAGTAGCTGGCTTGGAGTGCTTATATCCGTATATATATTAATCCCAGCTAATGTAACTACAGATGTTCTCATTCATAGGCCTATCTAATCCTATTGGGCCTTTGCCATGGTGTCTCGTAGCATGAGTTCTACGAGTTAATTACGTGCAGTGCAAAGAAGCATTTCCTTTTATCATTGAAAAAGGTTGCCTTTTAAATGCATTGAATGTCCCTTTGTTCCTGTATTTTAAGGACCAGTGAAGAGGAGCACCTGTCTGACCTTCTCGGCGCTGTACATTACTTGGCATCCCTCCATCGTCTCTTGGCAAGGCATTTCTAATCTTTTCCATCACCCTCAGATGGGTGCCTCTCCGTGCCTTTCACTCCAGTTTCCCAGCTGAGGACATACTATTGATTTCTATAGTGTCATGATATTATATTCAGCGTTACTCTCTACCCCTTTCATAATACAACCTACTATCTTGTTGCTCTTCTGAGCTCCGTTGCAATCAGCCAGATGTTTCATTGACTCCTAGATCTTTTCCTGGAGTGGTTGCAGTTAATTGGGACCCTTCAGCGTGTATGAGCCATCCTGTTCTCTCCTTCCAATTATGCCTCCTTCTGCGTGCTGGTTTTTGTCTGCTATCCCCTCACCCATTCGGCCAGTTTGGGTCGGTCTTGCAGAAGACCTGCGTGGTCTCCTCATGTCTGGACTAGCCAAGCTGAAGGTGGTCACCTAGAAATGCTGTTACCTCCCTGCTTTCCAGGTCATGGTTATTATATAAGAAAAATCAGCTTTTGTGGGCAGAGGCAGCCCCGTTGCTACCCTCATTCCCCATTAAAACCTCACCATGTATTCCTGCTCCTTGTTTTCTCCTCCACAGCCAGGTTTTTAAGCAGGAAATAACTTCATTTTTCATTAGTAATTCCAGGTTATCTCTGCCACAGACAGTTATCAAAGATTTTTCTTAAAGACTTTCTGAAAGAACTATATCATGACAGTTATTTCCCTTCCCCCGATGCTGTGTGAACTAACAGACTAAAGACATACTCTTTTCTTGCACCAACATCATTCCTGTTTACTCCTCTCACATCACACTCGCTGCACCATTGCATCCTCCTTTATGGGGTGATCCTTTTAAACAAGGCATGAGGATACAGAGGATAAATCAGCTGTTATACCCCTTATTATCTCAAAGGATGTCCCAGGCCCCCTCCTTTCCTGATCAGTGAGGTTTTCTCAGCTCTGGTGCCTCATGGTCTCTGCTCTGCTCAGTGCAGGGGACTGCTGATATTCTGCATCACGGTAGGGGATGGACAAATGCTTGCACCCAGGGAAGTCCAGGCATGAAAATGTGTTTTGTGAATCAGAAAGGCAGTGAGGATGCCAAAGGGGTGTTTGCACCAATCGCACCCCCTTTGCGACTCCAGTGCAATCTTTCCTCAATTTGGGGTTACAACCCAAAGGAATTTGAACTGTACTGGAAAAATCAGCATTAACCACCAGCAGCCCAGCTACTTCATGGCTGGGGAAGGAGAAGAGCCTGTAATTGCTGGCTGCAAGTGTTTGCACTGGCCAGGGAACTGCAAATTGCCTTTAATTGCTCCTAATTGCTGGCACTGGTTCAGTTCCTCCGGGACAGGGACTGCAAATGTACATCTGCAGACACTGCTTAGACCACCTCCTGCCTCCCCACGCCAGGAGGGTTGACTTGTTGCTGATGCGGAGAGTTTTCTGGAAGACAGAAAAGTCAAAATGGGGTCAGGCATTCAAGGAGCAGGAGTGCTGCTGCCCAAGGCAGTCGTCCCAGACACGTGAGGTCCTGTGCTGCAACAAAGAGGTGGGGACCAGTGGCAGAAAGCACATCCCTACACCCAGAGGGAATTTACCCCACAGCGTGTCAGAGGGAGCTATCAGCCAGGGATTTCTCCTGGTGAGGTCCTGGACCGAGGGCTGGTGATTCCCAGCTCCTCCGCCACTTGTCTACTCTGTAACCTTGGGCACATCCTGCGTGTCCCTGGGGACACAGCTAACACCCGTGCTGCAGAGCCCTCGCAGGAGCCCGGCTTGGGGAGAGAGTAGACAACCTCAGACAGATATGGCTGTAAAAATAACCACGGCAGCTTTGGACAAGTTGTGCTGAGGCATTACCTCATGAGGGAAAGAAGCAGCGGCATCGCTATTTATTTATGTGGTGTCCAAAAGAGCGCTCTGTGCTCTGCAGCCCTTCTTCCAAGAGCCTGATTCTGTAAATCTTACTCATCACGAAGGCTTTTTTTCCTTTTTTTTTTCCTCTTTTTTTTTTTCCCCTCTCTCTTCCAAGCGGTCCCATTGAAATCAGTGCAATCCGTTCACATGGGGGAGGATTACTCACAGGATGGAGGTTTGCAGGCAATGCCTGAAACCAGCACTCGCAGCCCCAGAGGGGACGCCTGAAACATGAGGCATGTTCCTCCCCATCCTCCTGCCCTTTGCCTCTTCTTGTGTAACCCTTCCCTGATTTGTTTATTTTTGTATTAACTCCTGCCTCTCTGCTTTTCTTTAACTCTTTTCTCTCCTGTTCCTTCTTTAGGCTCTTGCTTAATGTATTTTTATTTCCTCTCCCCCAGCAATATTGAAGCCGTCCCTTGGGGCTGCAGCGTGCAGGTTTTCCCACCTAAACGTCACCCTGCTCTCTGTGCTCGTATCACCAGCCACACTGATTTAATGCTAAAACTTTTCCAATCAAAACTGGGTTTCATAGAAAAGCAAGTTTTCCACTACGGGCAGGCAGCTGGTTCCCAGAGGCAGCTCAAGGGAAGGGGGGAGAGTAGGACATTTAATCAAAACCCCAAATCAGAAGTGTTAGGGAAGGAGGAGAAAAGAAGCAAAAGCTTTGTTGTTTGGGGTTTTTTCCCTCCCATGTGAAAAATCATCAGGTTTTGTCAAGGCTCAGTCTCTTCCTGTCCAGCACTGGCGGAGCCGAGGGACGGCGGCAGTTTGCTCGTGTTCTGGGGTGGGCTGCATGGGGACGGGATGCCCCGTGCAGGGACAAGGGGACATCCCAGGGCAGGGGGCTCCAGGCACCATACAAACCCTGCTGGGAGGGGACTAGCCTGGGAGCTGCTGTCCCGTAAAGGTCAAACTGGAGGCTGCTGGTGCAGGGAGCAGGAGCAGGATGGTGCTGGGGTGGGTTGGAGGGAAGCTCCAGCCAAGCACCAAAACTTGGACGCCCAACACGAATGCGGGATGTGATCTGCCGTCCCCAAACGAGGCAGATTTAGTGTGTCCCAGAGCCAGGGAGGTGCAAGACAAACCAAGAAGCATTGTAGGGTCCAGCACAAACCCTCATAGGAGTGACATGCTCAGTTTGAGGGATTTGGGGGTGTTTGAAAGCCAAGCCCAGCTGCTGGAGCCCATGGAGACACTCGCACTGGTCCTGACCCACAGAGCAGATCCCTCCAGGTTTTGGGCAGCAGGGCAGGTTTTCCCCCAAACGCTCTTTTTGGCAGGCAGCTCCCCTGAGGGGCTGAAGGAGAGCAGGATCAGTGCTCCCCAGGGAGGGTTTTGGCTGGCTCCTTCCCGAGGATGCTGCACAAGAAAAGGAAAGCTTTCCTGCCTTTCCCTGCCACCACTCAGCAGGGGCAGACCACAGTCTGGCACGGCGCTTGCAGCTCTTAGAAATCAGGGCTGTTAACAAATGTGCGAGGCCATAATCCTTTTGAGGCAGTGATGATAACAAGCCCTGATGCTTTTTTTTTTTGGGGGGGCCTTTTTTTTTTTTTTTAACAAACAGCTGCGCCGGTAAGTCCCACTGTGGGAAATGAGATGGTGAATGATTTCAAGTGCAGTATTTACATCCCCTGCCAAACCCTTCACATCTGCCCAGCTCTGCAGTCAAGCCTCTATCCATCTGGCCAGGAACAGCAGGTCCTCCAGCCTGCCTGCATCCCACAAGGGCATTTCCTTCCTGCGCCCGCAGTGCCAGCTGCCAGGGATGCTGCTCAGCAGGGAAGGGCTCAAGCAAAAGCACTGAAAGGAGGGTGGTTTGGTTTGGTTTGTTTTTTTTTTTTTTTGTAGCGCACGTGAAATGAATTCCCAACATCTCTGAAAGCAATTGCTTCCTGCCTGAGATCTGGTGTGCTGAAGGGGTGATGAAATGCTCCTTGATTTTGCACCTCTTCCTTACAGCCCTGCCGCTGCTCCGGGGAGCCCAAGGGAGTTTGAAGCTGGCTGGGGTGGGGGCAGTGGGTGCTGTGGCTCCTGGAGTCCTCCAGCAACACTGCCTTGCCTGCTCCCCTCCTCTTCAAGTCCTGCAAACTCTTGATCTCAGCACCCATGGGATGAGGCAGTTGCAGTGTCCACGGGTGGGGATCCTCGAGCGGGGACACCCCACGCTGCCTCCCTGGATCTGTAGAGCACTCCTTGCCCTGGGCAAGATGTCCTGGCTGCAGTTCCATCTGCGCAGCGGGACCAGCCATGGCCGGGCCACCCCTTCTCTGGTGCTATCCCCTCTGCGCCCAAGCGACGGCCACGTGCACCCTCTCTGCCAAATGCCACCTCTGTTTCAGGTCAGTGTGGTCGCTGGCTGGACGGGTTGTTGGCCGGAGGTCCAGCGCCAGCTGCGGAGACGGTGGAGCCGTGCCACGAGAGCTGCCGGCAGAGCCGCGGCGCTCACCCCGCTCCCCGCCAACGCCGCAACGCCACCTGCGCCCGCTCTCCTCTCCCCTGACCCTCTTGTTGTGTGTTCCCCCCACAGAGTGCGATTGCCATCCCGTGGGCGCCGCCGGCCAAACCTGTAACCAAACCACGGGCCAATGTCCCTGTAAAGACGGTGTCACCGGCATCACGTGCAATCGATGCGCCAAAGGCTACCAGCAAAGCCGGTCTCCCATTGCCCCCTGCATAAGTAGGTGGATCGCTCTTTCGATGTCTGTAGATTAGAGATATTAACCTTTGTAAACGCACAGGAGCCACTGCCCAGGCTGGGCGGCTACTAACCCCTCCTCATATATGCCAAAGGGCAGTGCTCAGGTACCCCTGCCAGCCACACTGCCCACAGTAGGGCATACAGTCCAAAATTCACCCCTAACTTCCAACTAGCTTGTCTGTCTTGTTGGGTGGGTTTTGTGAGTGCATCTACAGCCTAATTTGCTGGTAATTTGATACTGCTTCACAGGGCAAAGGTGCCCTGAGAGCACATTTGTTTTGGGGTACCACATCAGGTCTGGATGCTAGGGCAGATGGCTACAGACTGGTTTTTCTCTCCAAAATCAGGCTGTGCTGCACTGGCACAGAGCTCAAATCAGAGGACCTGCTGGTTTGATGGAGTTGCCATCACATTAACACAGCCGATAGCACCTGGATTGCTAAAGGGGATCTTACACTCACACAACCCACCCAGAAACATGGGCTGTTTTACCGTTTGCTTCCTTGAGTTTGCTTTTTAGTGTGCCTTCCCAAGGCTGCTCTCATCCTCTGCTCCAAAAACAACAGCAGCAAGCACCAGGTACAGCTCCCAAAGTCTCTCCGTTGCAGCATTTGCTCTGCAAACATCCACATCCCCACTCGGTCCCTGTCGAGCGCTCGCTGCCCGGACAAGGTGTGCTTTAGTCCAGTGCTCCTCTCTGCTGCCTGTTGGTTTTGCTGCTGTTGGATCATTCAGTAGCTCATGCACCTTGCGCGAGGCATCTCCACCTGCCCTAATGAAACGAAGCATCAAAATTACAGTGCCTGGGATGGGCTGGGCAGCAGGGGCTGCTCCCCTTGAGGTTGACTCCCTGCTGCTAAAAGGTGAAAAAAAGCCCAATGGGAAAAGAAAAGTGAGGGTTGAAAGAATCAAGTCTTTGTTGGGAATCCACAGTCTGCTCCCGCACTGTCCCCTCGCAGCATCTGCCTCTCAGGACGGCCATTGACAAATTATGGGGCAGATACCCTTTCTCCACCTTCTCCTGCTGAAGAAAACATACATTCCAGGGTGGTTTTTGGTCACTTGAGATTCATTCTTCCCCGTGTCGCAATGGGACGGCAAGAGCTCAGACCAGATGCTTGTTTCCCCAAGACATTACAGTCATGGCTCCAGTATGCTTTGCAGCAAGTATGCGCAAAGGTTTATCATTAATCATTCCCCAGGGCCATGGTAAATCAGAGAGTAAATTGTTCCTTGCATCACTTCCCTTGGGATTCATTGCACTAAATAAAGACAGACACAGAATTTCAACACGATCCAACTAGGCGTTGGGAGCCGGGCTGTGCTCATGCCAGCTGCCGAACTGGTGTGCTCAAGGCTGCCTGCTGGCGTGAGCCTGGCAGGGCTGCCTTGCCCTGGCCCTGCAACCCGGCCACCATTCTGGCACCCGTGAGAGCCCCTTAGTTCTGTGTCACTGCAAAACATCCTTTCCAAGGGGCCAAAACTTTTGTTCACATGTGTTTCAAGCAACACTCTGGCCTGGCTATCAAGCCGCTGTGCGGTTTGGGGGAGTTTGATCTGCACATATGATGCTAAAGTAATTAAATTGAGGATATGAGCAACTCGCAATTCTCTTATCTTAGAAAAACCCAAACCAGCACATTTTCATCCTTGAAAAATGTCAGTGTGTGTGGAAGTAGTTCACACATACTTTATACACGTGTAGTGGAGGGCACTTGCTCTCCATCCCTGCCCACACTGCTCTCCCATCTGGCACTGGGAGGGCACAGGAACACTGCAGCTAGCCAGGGGCTGTCCACCTTGTCTGCAAGAGCACAGTTACTCTCTGATTTACTACTGCTTATATTTTCCTTGTCCCAAAGACTTAAAGTCATGCAAAAATCACCTTGTGGGGAATGAACAAGACACCAGCGGGGTCTGTCTGCACCACAGCCCACGCCAGCAGGCACAAGCACCCATCCAGCTGCCAGCTTTGGGATGGCTGTGCTGGCTGTTCATGTACCGCCTGACTATGCACCATGTGTTTCACATGGACTTGTGCCTATGTTTAATTGCATAAGGGTGAACGATTCAAAAAGTCATCTAATTGGGCGGCACCCCTATAAGCTGCTGTCACTGCAATGCAGACAGACCTCAGCAAACCCACCTCTGTGGCCAGGCAGGTTCCCGAGAGCAAAAGTAGGAGGCAGATGCTGACCCCTAGCTCATGCCTAAATTCCACTTTCAAAATGGACTGGTAGGGTGTTCCCCCACCAGGATTCCCGGGGATGCACAGAAATTGCAGCACTGTGCCCTAAATGCACAAAAGATGTCAGTAATGAGGTCTGCATATGTGCACTGGGGAAAAGAGATCATCTTGCCAAAGTTGGGACCATATAATGCGCTCCATCTGCAGTCCATCCTTTTTAACATCAACAAACACAGTCAGATTTGGGCCATGAAGATCCAGAACATAATGTGGTTTCAGCTATGCAAAGCCAGCCCCAAATCAAAACCAGGGACCGTTGGATTGGCACCAGCTATGTTTGTGTTTCCTTTAAATGTGTGAGATAACACTTGAATTCCAGCAGATAGATGCAATGCTTTACCTGCATCTTATCTCACATAAGAGGAGTGGCAGCACTGCCTCAGACATGGAGTGAACCAGCAGCTGGAAGGAACAGCCCAGGGACAGGGAGAGGCAGCAATGCTCCCATTGCCTGCTGGGGCTGGGCACCTCGCAGCAGGCAGCCACACCACCCTGCCTGGCTTATGCACTCTCCGAGCCCCTGCAAGAGCACCCTTCACCCTGGGTTCCAAACTGGGACCTAGCAATTGCAGCAGGTTGTGTCTGGGCAGCATAGCAATTGCTGGCTGTGGCACCCTATCAATTATGTGGCTGGCTGTATCTTTTATTTTTAGCCGCAAGCCAAAATTTTTTGTTTAAAAAACCCTTTCCCACACCCTCTTGGGAGGTCCAGTTCCCCAGTGGGTATGGTCCTGGTGTGCTGGTTTCTGGGGCTCTTGCGAGGCTCCTCGCTGGAGGACATAGTTGGGAAACACCCATTGCTGGTAGACATGGTTGGGAACAGAAAATACAGTGTGTGCAGGGACCAGGCTCTTTGGGATTTGGAGTAATACCTCCTTCTTTTATCTCCTCACCTTTCCTGTCTGCTTCTCGCCGTCCTGCACAGAGATCCCTGCCGCTCCCCCTACCACCGCCGCCAGCAGCACGGAGGAGCCTGCAGGTACGTTGTCTCTTCTTTTAAAGCATCTTGTTGGTAAATGGCTTTTGAGCAATCGTCTGCCTGAGATGAAATTGCATTAAATTAATACATAAATTCTGGTTTTTGTACTGGGACAAGTGGTTTCCTTTTATGCCCCAAATGTCCGAGTGTTTGAAACAAGTGTGCTGCATCCCGAGAGATGGGTGTTTCTAGGTGCATGTGGGAGTGTAGAGAAGATGCAGAAAGATTTTGCCAGAGGTGCTAAATCTATAAGCACACAGAGGTTACCCAATGTGGAAGCAATGCTTGTTGAAAAAGAGGTAAGGACTCAAGACTACCACTGGTTGATTATTAAAGATTAGTGGTTACCTTCTCAAGAGGCTCAGAGAACAGTTCTGTCACATTTTTCTGGTGGAGAAGGATTAGAGGACCAAAAATCCACCAAAAGAGAACAAAAATCTAAGTGTTGTTTACTGCTGCATATGACCATTTCCTTTATTTGCCTAGATCTGTGTGTTTCTTGTGCTAAGCGATCTTAGGAGTTGATGTGACCTGTGTATGTTATAGCAATGTGTCTCCTGTCCAGTTTTGTGGGTCCTCAGGGTGGGACACGGCTGTGGTTAGTGGCATTGCTGGGGCCAGTTGTGCTCAGAGGTGTCTCAAGGCCAGTGACTGTAAGAGCAGGGGAAGCATCTTAGCTTGGAGCAATGGACTTGGATCACCGTATTTATGCAAGCTGCAAGACAGAGGATCATCCTGAGAAAGCTTTGGCATGTCACGGTGTGTGTATCCTCCTGTTTCCCCTCCCCTTGTCCTTGTGCCAAATACAACCCATGCAATGCTGACCCGGGGCTCAACACGTCTCTTTGTATGCCCCATCTCCACCACCGCACCTGCACCAACACCCCACCAACCTCCCCTCCTGATTTACACCCTAGAGGGGCTGACACCTGCCCCCACCATGCCACTGGGAGACTTTCCTGTCCCCAGCTCCCTCGGGTCGGATGGGTCTGAGCAGGGGATGACAGCAGGAGCCAGAGAGCCCTGGGAAAGCGTGACTTATCCCACCCTGCTGCCTGCCAGTTCCTGGGGTATTTGAACAGCGCCGCGGCTGTGAAGGACACAAGGTGTAAAGGCTGTTTGCTTTTGTCTCACCAGTGTAGGAGGACTCATAAATTAAGGATTTTGTACTAAAAGTGAAGGATGTCACCTTGAATTGAACTTTGAGCCAAGGCTCATCCCGTGGCAGGGCTTTTCATGCAGGCTATGCATGTTGCTGTATGCTCAGGAGTTCTTCCAGGGATGGGAAACCCGGGGAGCAAAGGGACAACAAGGTCTTCAGTCCCCAGCATCACAGGAAGGTAAAGCTCAGGGTTTTCTGTACGACTGATTTAAAGGACAAGTTCTACCACCTGTAAACACAGTAGCAGCAACTCCGTGTTTCAGTGTCTTCTCTTAGGCTGGTGTGAGCAAGAAATATCTCGGAGCCTTGGGTTTGTGCCTATTGCTTCACATGTGCTGCTTAAAGCGTCTCCACTGACCTGAAGGGCTGAAAGGAGCATGAAGACACACCAAAAACATGGCCCAGCCAGCACACTTCCAGCTCAGGTGCTGGTGATCAGCCCTTTTGCTCTTGCTGCTTTGCCCTATAAACTGGGTGCTGACGTGAGATGTGCGGTTTGGTGAGTCCATCACAATGAAGTATAGGACTATTGGGTACACAGACCATCCCACTTAACCTGAAGCCAAGCAGGAGCAAGTCTTCTCTTTCTTACAGCACTGTTTGCTTCCAATACCAGCCTCTGTTACCCGCTTCCATCAGGAGAAATATTCTTCCCCAACTCCTCAGGAGCTTAATTACATGCCATAGTGCATCCCACCATCTTCTTTCAGCCACAGAGAGCTCCTCCTCAAAGCTCCCATTAAACCTTCCATCTTGTCCTGGCTGCAAGAGGACTCAGTGTGGAGATGTCCCCCGCCTTGGCCAAGCCCCTGGGACTGGCAGGCACACCCCGAGTCTTCCCATGAGCTTCGTGAGAGCTGGCAGCTCCTGCAGCCTCTGCAACTCTTTCATTTATCTCAACACCGCACTTTGGTGCAATGTTGTAGGTGCATCCCAGCAATGCCAGCTAAACGTGCTGGATGCATGGAGCAGAGCAGGCTTCCTTTTCCCCATCTCATTCTGTGAGAGGGAAATTTATGTCTGCAACTCCTTGTTTCACCCCTTGCTATAAAAGAAGACCACGGTCTAGCTGAGACTTTTAGATGCTTGAGGGGAGGTTTTCCCCATCCACAGGGACTGTGCTGCTGATATATGGAAGATTTATAGGCAGATAGAGAATATTAGCTAGCGGTTTAAGGATCCAGTGGGACCAACTGACATCACAATTTCCAAACTGAGTGTGTTGAGTGGGGAGTCAAGCACTACTCAGCCCTTGCAGCTCTGCAGGGTGGTGCTTTCACCCTCCGTCAGGTAATAATAAACCCAAGCAATGTTTAACTACAAAAAGCTCAACAGATGAAATACCAGATTTCTCACGGGCTCCTGTTATTTAGCAGGGACTTGCAGACTAAATGTTCTGGTAAATTGCCCTAGTAACACCGAGATTTTGTGCTCCACACCAGGATCTGTCTGTTCCTCACCCCACAGCCTCTCAAACCTGCTCTGTTCCCACCCTGCTGCAGGGATGGCAGAGCAGACCTCTTGCACCATGATGCCACGGGGCTTATCACAGGCTCTGTCTGGCAGCTGAGGAGATGCAGAGATGTCTTCTCACAGCCCTTTCTGCAAGGAGCTTGGCTTCTGAGATGAAGTCCTTGTGTGTGGAGCTATAGCATCTCCATGCTGGGATCTCCTCACACCATCGCTGACCCAGGGAGCAGAAGCAGCCCCAGCACTCACACCAGGGACCTCCCAGCCAGAACCTTGGATGCTTGGTGGAGTCTACTTTCCTTGGGCTCCTTAATTCCAGGGGCCAGGGCACGTTCCACCCAGTGCAGCTGCCCCAGCCCTTTCCTAAGGCAAGACCTGGCTCATGCCATCCCCTCCCCTGCTCAAGATCAGGTTGCAGGGCATGGGTGCATTTCTGAGCAAGTAAATAACTGCTTTGCCCATCACCATGGTGTGAAGCATCCCTCAGGTCAGTTTTGCATGCAGCTTGCCCTGCTAAGCCTTCTATCAGTCCTGGAGCCGGTGGCAAGAAGTGACACTTGAGCAGTGTCCCTGAGTTTGAACTGGCCACAGGGGTCTCTCAATGTCTTTTTGCTGCTGTTAGGAGCTCATTTATCTGGGCACATTCCTATTCATGAGTCCAAAGGGGCCTTTCTGAGGACATTCTCTATTTTTCACAGTCTTTCCCTGCCAGTCCCCATGTCCTCTCACATCTTTCCAGAGCGTGACCACGAAAGGGGCTGAATGCAGGCGAGGGCTTGGAGGAAGCAGCGTTTATCCACATCCATCAGCCAACGTCCTGGCTTGAAAGGAAAGAGCTGCCAAAGCCCCAGTCCTGCTGCCCCCACGGGTGAGGACTGGTTTGGGGGTGACACATCTCCCACCTGTGTGCTCCGTGCAGATAGCAACACAGCTGGGGAAACAGGTCCTTTCCGTGAACTCCCTGCACTGTCCTGGGCAAATGCCAACTGGGGCAGCTGCATTCGGCCATCCCAAATTCCACGTGCCACCTCAATTGGCCACAGCCCTGTCAGCGCCTGCCCTGAGCTGATGTGCTGTGGCAGTGTGACTCACAGCAGCCCCGGGCACTGTGCCGGGTGGGCTGGGGTCGGGGCTGGGGCTGGGGCTGGGGCCAGTTCCCCCTTGGCCCCTCGGCTAGCCAGCGAGCAGAGCCAGGGTGAGCAAGGCAAAAGCATAGACCCTGCAGCAATAGGACCCTTGAGCAGGACAAGGGGGTGCACAGCCTATTTTAGGCACCAAATGTGGACACTTTGGTGAAGAGCAGGTCCCTGTGCAGCCAGTGGGGAGAGATAGGTGCTTTCTGCCACCCATGCATGTCCCTGGGTGAGTGCCGATAGGGATGGCTGCAGGGACCGGAGGTGTGTCGGTCAGGACGTGCCCCTCACCTCTGACCGAGGCTTTGGGTAGGTGTCTGCAACATTTTCCAGCCTTGCTACAAAGGGACCATCTCATCCTGGTGCTGCTGGCAAAGCTACAGCCTCCAGTCCCAAGCCCCCACTGATCCTGGGAGCAAACAGCCCCGTTGGGGAAGGAGTGAGTCCCGTAACTCTGCATCCTCATCATGGAGAGAAGGGTTATTTAGGGATCTGCCCAAGCCTAACTGAGTTTGCATAAAGCCAGTAACTGAGAACATCTCAGCAGGGTTAGAGATCTCCCTTCAGCAAAGGAACTCCTCGCCGGAGGCTAGGAGAGGATTATCTATGGGCTGGGAGTGAGTCGGGCATCCTGACAGCCTGGGAGCCATGAGAAATGACTCGACAGTGTCTCTTGGATCCCCGTGTCGCTGGAGGGCTGGATCTCCCCGCACTCTGCCCGGAGGGGTGACTGGGGACCAATCTATCTTGCCAGGAGCTGCTCGCGCTACCTCCTCGTGAAAGCCCAGCAGAGGCTGAGCCAAGCTGAGCAATCTGATGGGCTCAGTGTCCAATCATAATTCTTCTCGCTGTGATTTTTATTGGACTTTTTAAGCACCGTTTTGTCCAGGGAGCTTGAACCCTCCATATTTCATCCCTTACCCTCTGCAGGGAGCAGCAGGCAGCCCTGGGTCTCAGCATCGCTCAGCCCCCACCGCCACCCTGAAGCATCCTGCCAAAATTCATGGTGTTTTCTTGACAAATGCTTAAATTGGTGTGTCTGAGAGCCAGAGCTCCCATAGTATGGGATCGAAGGGGTTATAGAGATGGAGGAAGAAACTAGTGGGAGACTTTGGGTGCAGCTGGTTCTGGGAGAGATGCTGCTTTATTTCCTTTGCTCGTAGCTATGCAGGGCAGAAAGTGCCTTCCTCCCCAAAAGCTGAGTTAGCATCACCACCACTCTGAGTCAACGAGGG